GAGCCCTGAGATCTCTGGCTGAAAGGCGCATCGAAGGGGCACCAGCTTGGCACCCCCTTCGCGTCCTCCCAGATTCCTTCTCCTCTGGATGACATTCACTGCATTATCCACGAGAAACCGATGTACGAGACACGTGAAAGCGTTCCTTTCGGTTTCACTGGCCACCAGCGCTGCGGCCTCCGCAACACATCCGGGATCAGAGCAGTGTGCCGCTGTACCCCGGTTGCTGGGAAACATGGGCTGGAGAATGCTGTGCAGCTTGTGTCCTGGTTGGCTCTTCCCCACTGGCAGCTGGTTGGCCATTGTGTGAGCAGAAGGCTGGACGGGGTGGCCCCTTGGCCTCATCCTGCACGGCCCTCCCTGTGCTCTGATCGCTTCTCCAGCCACCTCTCAGGAGTCTCCCGCCGCGTGTGCATTGCTGGGTGCATCTGCTGTTTCTCCACGGAGGCTGCCCTGCTGCGGTTGTCATGCCAGCGCCTACAAGGGAACGCAGCAGACTTTGCTCCAGCCATCGGGAGGCAGGCCAGCCATTCCCCCCTCTCCCCCGAGACGTTGTGCAGGCTCTTTCTCTCCCCAAAAGTGTATCCAGCAAAGGTTCCTGGAAGACCTGCTGCTGGTCACTTCGACTGAGCCAGGAGTGTCCTCAGCCGTTAGAGAACAAGAGTCGGAACTGAGGACGAACTGAGCACTTTCTTTATAGTTACTTCTGCTGGCTCTCACCACAAGCTTATCTGTGGAGGTTTCTGGAGAGTGAAGCGCTTTCCCCATTTTTCTCTGCATGAGGTTTACTAAGTGTATGTGACACACGCACGTTCTTAGTGGAAGAAGGTCCCAGGCCCTGTCACTAGCCGATACCTCCGAACCTGTGGAGGACGAGTGTGGCGTTGAAGGTGAACAGGGTGTTGGGAACGGATCCTCTGAAGCACGATAAAGCGCTGTGAGAAGTGGCGATCGCCGTGACCGCTGAGAGCACGCCGTGACACGCGGCACCAAAGGCAACGTTGATGGAGGAGGCTTGCATATTTCAGCCTTTTTAAAATCGCAGCTACATCAAAGCTCTTCTTGTGAGCAACAGTGAGAAAACTGAAGCTGTCATACTTGGGCACATAGTGAGAAGGCCGGGCTCCCCGGAGGAGACAATCAGGCTGGAGAAAATGGAACGTGGAAGACGGAAAGACAGACCAGAAACCACATGGATTGACTCGTAGTGGAGGCCACAGCCTGGAGCGTGCAAGGCTGAGCCGGGCTGTGACGGACGGGGCGTTTTGGAGGGCTTTCACTCCCTGAATTGCCAAAAGTCGGGGATGACTTGACAGCACATCACACAACCAACCATGTTAGAACTGGTAGCACCTTCAAGTCACAACGATCTTTTTACTCAGGAGAATCGGGGTCATCGATTCTCTGAGAAGCGGAAGCCAAGACTTTAAGAAGGAAGAAAGAAGAAATTGACTAATCTGAACAGGGACCTGGCTAGAATTTCCACAAACAGACTCTGTGCTGCTTCCAGCCGCCATTGCAGGTTCTCATTTCTAGCAAGGGGGAAGGAGATACTCTGCCCCCAACGGTGGAGACGCTGCTTAAAAGGGCTCAAGGCTCATTTGCCCATGTCCACCCCTTCTGGTGTCTGTCACCTAACCTTCCCTTTTTGTCCTGATCTCCTGGCTTCCTCTCCTTGCCCAGGATAACTCTGTCCCCAGGAAGCCCGTTCGGTGGGGACTTCCAGGGAGGGGCAAAGGCTCGACTTGGTCTCTGCAGAAGGAGGGTGGCCAGGGCTGCCTCTGGGAAGGATCAGCATCGCCCAAGGAGCCTCTTGAAGACAATCCCAGAGATTTCTGTAGGGTCCCCAGAAGTGCCCAGACGATGCCATGTCACTGGAAGGGAAAGCAGCTCCAGGACTGGAATGAGAGGTTCTTTCCCTGCCAAAAGGAAACTCTGCAGCCCCTTCGAAACCCATGTTGGGGAATGAGGTGAGGAAAGGAGGGGCCTGGAAAGATTACCCAGAGCAACAGGACCCCTGCAATTTGGGATGGAGCCCATGTCTCCAAAGTGCCCTAGCAGAAGTCCCTTTGACCTGTGCACAGTCATCAGAAACCCAAAGCAGGCAGACTTTGTTTATTTCATTGCTCTTAATGTGGCAGGAAATGCTCTTTATGTGATGAATTTCACTGCGTGTGTTCCTGCCCGAGAAGGTCTCAGGGCGAGCACTTTGCATCATCCCTTTCCCTGCATAAGCATCGCTCTTGGATTGCCAGGATCGCCCCAACCTTTGCCTTGCAGAGAACTTCCTGTTCTGGGGGAAGGAAAGGCGGGCAGGTCTGGGCAGCCTGTGGCGCGCCCTCTGGTGGCCAGTATCGGAATAACCGCTATTGCATTTGCAGGATGGTCCCAGGCCCTGCGGGAGCTCTCAGCCCCCTGGGGAAGAGCTAGTAAGTGCCAGCCCTCCCTCCAGGGGCTGCCTCGGCCGTGCAGCTCTTCCTGCCGGCGGGGCATTTCTCCGCTTCTGCATCTTGCGGGACCCTGCCTAGGTTCGGTTCCCCCTTGTGCCCCTGCAGATCTGCTCCGCTTGCTTCGCCCTCCCCGGCGTCCTGCCGGATTCACCCTTCTCATCGCCCATCCCCACTGTGACTGGGCCCCTGCTGCATTTATTTATTCATTTCTGTATTTAAAATTTTTCTATACCGTCCCATATTTAGCCGTCTCGGGGCGGTTTGCCTTCCCCCGTCTGGGCCTTTGGCTCAGTCGTGCCCACACTGCCTTCTGGCTCTGAGATGCTCCCTCGGTTCGTGACCTCGGCCCATTTCTTGACTGTGACTCTGTGCCTGACCCAGCGACGGGACTCGGGACAGTGCTTGGACCGTGCCCTGCTGTGGGTCCGGTCGCCTGGATCCCCACGCAAATTCCCTCGGACCCGGAGCCTCGGAAAGGATGGCGCTGCTTCCTGGAAGACGTGCTGAGCGTTTGGTGTTGGGCCAAGAGGAAATAGAAGCAGTGCTTGGGAAGCCCCCAAAGTGGCACATGACGTGATGGGTTCTGGCTGCCGCGTTTGGGGACCTTTCGGCAGGACCTGCTCCCTGGGCCCCCTTCCTCGGTGACCCTGTCTTCTTGGCGCCCGTGTCCCCAGCTGCCCTCTCTCCTCCTCCTCCTCCTCCAGCCGGGGAGCAGCCAGGCCGTGGCGTCTCCTGCTCCTTCTCTCCACCACGCGGCCCAGGCCAGAGCGAGAGGCAGGAGGAGGAGCAGGCGGCAATGGTGGGGAAGGGGGCCAGTCTGGGGCCTTGGCTGGGGCCCCGCTGGGGTGGCTCTCGGGCTGCCCAGCCAGCCCCCTGGACGCCAGCCCTGCGCATGGTGTCACAGTGGCACATCCCTCACGCGGTGCACAGCGAGCCAGTGGCTCTTGTGGCAGGCGGGTGGGAACACTGGATCAGAGGCGGGAGGTGATTCCTCCGTGCGCTGCAGCTTTTCTTCTGAGCTTATGGGATGCATCTCCTCGGGCATGGAGTCCAGCGCCATGGATAGCACCTGCAAGGCCCAAGGGAAAAGCTGCAATGGTTGAGGAACCCCCCTCCCCCCCCCCCCGGGACAGGATGCAGGATCCGAGCCGCTGGAGGGGCTGAGGCCTCGCAGGCCCTCCTCCAGGGGGGTCGGCAGCTGGTGCTGCAGGCGCGACCGGGGGCAGCATCCGCCTTTGCGCTCCTGGGGCAGCCGGTCCTCTGCCACTTCCTCAGCTGAGCCCAGTGCGACTGGCACTCAAGCAGCAGGCCGAGGGCTACAGCCTCATCTGAGAAATCTCAGGACCCACATGCATACTGAGTTCGAAGAACGAATAGCTTGTTTTAAGAACAGAACACCTGGAAGAGGTTGTCATCACGCCATTTATTTTCATGTCGCTTATGTTTGTGGGAGAGGCAGTTTAGTTCTGGTTTGGAGAGATGTGGGGGCCACCTGGCAGCGGATGGGGGCTGCTGGGCACTCGAGGGAGCCATCTTAGGTGAGGGCAGCCTGGATGCTGAATCTGCCAAGGGAGGCCATTTTGAAGTAGGGCAGAACTTCGCTCGGGTCCTGGACAATGTGGGGCCTCGCAGAATGGGGCAACTGTGGGTTTCCTCCTTCCAAGCAGCAGGCCCTTTCTCAGCCGTGCACACGTGCAGAAGGCCGCCCCCCTTTCTCCAGGATTCACTGGGGACCTGCCAGGGAGGAGACCCCTCAGTTTTGCCTTTTCGATCCCGGCCTGCAGGGAGCTCTGGGAGAAGAAAGGGGTGACCGACATTGATGCCATCCCTGGAAACTCCCCCCACATGGATCCCCCCCCCGTGCACCATTTTTGTTTTCTTTTCCTAGAGGGAGCAGAGTATGGGGCAGAGGGAGCTCTCTGTCAGGGTGCGAGATTGGCAGGATCTGACTGCGGGGGAGATGGGAGCTGCCCTCTTGCCCTTGTGGGTCGTGGGGCAGGGCCTGCGAGTGCCTGACAGGAAAATCCTGAGGGGGGGGGCACAGCGTCTCCTTCAGGGCAGGGGGTGGGGGCAGGGGGTGCGAGGTCAGGCTCCATTTTGCAGGTGCAGCAGTCAGTGGGGCAGAAGGGGGTCATTCAATGCTTCGGTGTCCCTCCAGCTCCCCTGAGGCGGAAATGTCTGCCTGAGCTCCCCCTGTGGGGCATGACACGTGGCCGTGGGGGCATGATGGAAGTCATGGGGGCAGAGTCCGCGGGGCTCTGGGGGCTTGGAGGAGGAGGAGGAGGAAGGGCCATCTGGGTCAAGGAGGGGGAGGGGAGCAAGGACAGGCCTTTGGGTGCCTCAGGATTTTCGCATCAGTCACAGCTTAAGTGCTCGGGGGGCAGCAGGAGGCATGTGGGGCGGGGGCAGCCCAGTGTCCAATGTGGGGTCTCACACCCTCACCCAGGCACGGTCTCCACCTCCCCTGTGGGGTCAATAAGTGTAATAATTTTTACATCCCGCCTGTTCCCAGAGAGTGGGACCCCGCCTGGGCTTCACTTGCGGCCCGTGGGGCTCCCTGCCTGACTCGCCTCCTCTTCCAGGGCTCCACACCTGGCAGGAGATGTACGGCTGTGAGCTGAGGAGCGATGGGAGCAAAGGAGGGTATGACCAGTATGGCTACGACGGGAAGGACTACATCAGCCTGGACAAGGAGACCCTCACCTGGACGGCGGCCGATGCCAAAGCCCAGATCACCAAGCGGAAGTGGGAGAAAGACCTTGCCTTTGCTCAGGGAATGAAGGCCTACCTGGAGAAGATCTGCATTGAGTGGCTGCAGAGATACCTGGAGTATGGCAAGGAGACCCTGCAGCAGAGGAGAGGTGTGTGGGGGTCGAATGAGAGGCATGTGGGGAGGGAGGGGGTGGGAGGGGGATGCAGGGGGCAATGGGGGGCTTCCTCCCCCCAGTTCTCCATCTTGGCTGGGGCACAAACCCCCCCCCCCCACTACAGCAGTGCCAGTCTGGGGTTGTCCCACTTCAGCCCCTGGGAGGTGGGGGGATTTCTACCCTCCCCCCAATATGGAAGCAGAAATCCCTGGAAGAGGAACAGCAGCTCCGCAGGGATCGAGGTGTGGGACTGGACTCCCTTCCCTCCCCCTTTACGCATTTTCTGACAGGAAATGTGTTGATTTTTAGAACTGAGGCGCGTTTCAGTTGGTATCCTCCCCTCCCCCTACAGTCTCAGGTGGTACAATCCCCCCCTTTTCTCCCCCCTTTTCCTCTGCTTGGCAGGTCCAGCCTGAAAGTGACCCAGAAACACACAACCCGAGCAGATTGCCCCAAGGGGGGCTGGCTGGATGGGAGCTGGGGCTGTGGGGGGGAGGCTGCACGTGGGGTCACCCCCACAAGGCACACCTCCCTGTCCCGAGAGCAGCCTTTGCCCTTCCTGCCCTGGGGAGACCCACCTCTCTTCACACGCCACCCGCCCCCTGCTGCTCCTCCGCCCCACAAGTAGATCTCCCCCTCGCCACCCTCTCTTGGGGACAGGCCCTGCCCCCTCTCCCCATGGGATTGTCTTCCCACGTGTCCCAGGACTTATGAATGTGTTCATTTACTTAAAACATTTGGATGCTGCCCAGTTGTGCCCTAGCACCTCTGGACAGCTCACAACCACAAGATAAAAGCACAATGAAAACCACAACACATTAAAAACAACAATAAAATACAGCAAAAAATAGAAAACCAAAGTCTTACGGCAATTAGTTTTTGGGGTTTTTTTAAGGAAGGTCTTTGCCTGGTGCACAAAGAAAGTAAGGAAGGCGCCAAGCGAATCTCCTTGGGGAGAGCATTCAAAACATGGGGAGCAGCTGCAGAAAAGGCCCTGCTCCTTGTGGTCATTCCCCCCCCCCCCCAGGGAGGGCTCATGCAGGAGGGCCCCTGCATAGCTCTCAAAGGCCGGGGAGGCGCATATGGGTGCAGTGCTCCCGGGACTTTGGCCGTTTAGGGCCCTGTATGCCAGCATATTGAATTGGGCCTGGGCCACAATTGGTAACCAATGCCAGTCTTTCACTATAGGTGTTATATGGGCTCCAGTCACCAACCAAGCGGCCCTATTCTGTACCAGTTTTAAATGCCGGCCCATCTTCAAGGGCAGCCCCACGTAGAGCGCACTGCGGTAATCTGTTCTGGATGCTACCAGGGGGGACAGTTTCCAGGCTCTGTCTGTCCAGGTCGCTGGTATTTCCTCCGCAGCCAGAGCAAAGCAGCCTGGACGTTGAGCTCAGCTGATATTCCAGGGACAAACTCGGGTGCAGGAGCCCCCCCAGACTGCAGGCCCTGTCCCTCAGGGGGAGTGCAGCCCCTTCAAGGATGGGCTATGCCCCTCAAACCTGTCAGATGACCTCCCCCCCACCACCCCAGTAGCAGCACCTCTGTCTTGTCAGGATTGAGCCTCAGTTTATTGACCTGCATCCAGTCCATTATTGAGCTCAGGCCCCAGTTCAAGACGGCGACAGCCTCACCTGGATGAGAGGTAAAGGAGAGGCAGAGCTGAGTATCATCGGTGTATTGCTGAGTCCTCAGCCCAGCCCTCCGGATGACCTCTGCCAGCGGCTTCATACGGATGTTAAAAGGCGTGGGGGGCAGCACTGACCCTGTGGTGCCCCACAACGCAACCACCATGGTGCGGAGCAGCAGTCCCCCAGGAATAACTTCTGGACTGGCCAGCCAGGTAGGAGCAGTCCCTCCAGCCCCGACCCCGGCAGCCTACCCAGAAGGACACCGTGGTCGATGGTGTCGAAGGCCCCTGAGAGGGCCAGGAGAACCAAGAGGAACACCCTCCCCGGGTCCCTCTCCCTGCACAGGTCATCGTACAGGGCGACCAAGGCTGTCCCCATTCCAAACCCAGGCCTGAAGCCGGACTGAAATGGGTCCAGATAATCCATTTCCTCCAAGAGGGCCTGCAGCTGCCCGGCCAGCACCTGCTCCGACACCTTCCCAAAAGGGGGATTTTCACAATGGGCCGGTGGTTATCCAGCACTCCTGGATCCAGGCCTGGCCTTTAAGGAGGGGTCTCACTGCTGCCTCCTTGGAAAGGCCAGGGACCACCCCCTCTCTTAGGAGGCCTTGTCAGCCTCCTGGACCCAGGGCCGGACCCCGTCAGACCTCCAATCAGCCCAGATGGGCAAGCGTCAAAGAGGCATGTGGTGAGTCGGGCACAGCCAAGCACCTCGTCCGCATCCTCATTCTCAAAACTGAGCTTCACCCAGCAATGGACCATTCGACTGTGCACCAGACACGTGCGAAGACTCTGCACAAATGGCAGAGTCGAGCTCCAGGCAGAGCAGAGCGATTTTCCCCTCAAAGCGTGAAGCGAGTTTGTCACACAGAGCTGTCGAGGGCCCTGGGCTCTCAGCTGGAGGACCAGGTCGTGGGAGGCCTCGGACCATTTGAAAAAACTCAGCTTGGCGGCCCTGTGAGGAGCGTAAGGGAGGCAAAGACCCCCCCCCCCTTGGCTGCCTTAGTGCCACTAAGGAGGCCCGATAAGATCATGAGCCTGTGTTCGCTGGGACTCGTCAGGGGCTCCCTGCACCTGCGTTCCAGCCGTCTCCCTACCTGCTTCACTCCCAGCATGTCCTTATATCACGGTGCTTTGGTGTGATCGAGTCAATAGCCCAAGCCATTTCCCTGTTCCATAAGGCAACCTGGGCATCAGCAGGAGCGCCCACCATATCAGCCGGATAGTCCCCCAAAGCCCTTTGGAAGCCATCAGCATCCATCAGACTCTTCAGGATCCCTGACTCTGAGCATGTGCAGAGTGGCTTTGCATTTCTCGTAAGAGTACAGCACCCAAAGTACGTGCAGACTGGCTGGTCTGGGGCGCCACGTTTCTAAAATAGATCTAGAAGTGGAAAATAGCAAAAGCACCAATCCCATAATTTTCCTCCTGCCTTTACATCCTGCTGGAATTTCGTGCAGGCTGGGCGGTGACTTTTTGCAGGTCTCCGCTGCCAGAAAAGCGAATAGCTACATTTCCGACTGAAAGGGCCGATTGAGAAGCACGAGGGATTCTGCCCCTTCCAAGTCCTTTCGCTTTCCTCACAGAAATGGACGGCAAGCGGCCTCAGGCATGAAGCAGGGCTGGCGGCGGGGGGGGGGGGGGGCAGACAGCAGAGGCCAGCAAGCGCGGTGCCCTTCCCACGGAGGGGCCATCCTGAGCGGCCTCAGTGGTGTGCAGTTTTTGAACCCTTCATTTCAGGGGGTTCAGATGCAGCCCCAGAGATGGGGGGCGTTTGCCCCTAAGACCAACGGGGCAGGCCTGAGCACCTCGAGGTGCAGCTGAGGGTTTTCCGCACGTGTCAGGATGCCAGCGGAAGCCGAAGCTGCTGCTGCTCGGGGCTTTTCAGGGCTTCCCACGAGGGGCATTTCCGTGCTCAGTCTGCGAAGCATCCATCCTGCCAGGCGCTGGGAAGGTGCTGTGTTCACTTGAGGCTGCCTTTGCTTTTGCAGCGCAACCCACCCTGAGGGTGACACGCGGAGCGGCCCCCGATGGCAGGGAGACCCTCCTCTGCCGGGCCGACGGCTTCTACCCCAAGGAGATGGAGATCGCCTGGACGAGGGACGGGGAGGTCTGGACCCAGGACACCTTCCGTGGCCTCGTGACCCCCAACGCAGATGGGACCTACCACACGTGGATCAGCGCCAAGATCGACCCCCAGGAGCGGGACCGCTACCGGTGCAGTGTAGGGCACGACAGCCTGCCGGATCTGGTGGAGGTGGCCTGGGAGGAGCCCGAAGGTGAGCCTCTGGGTGGGAGTGGGGGGGTCTTCTGCCCCTGAGTGGAGTGCGGGGGGGTGGCTGTTTTTCCACAGGAGGCCTCGGGCGGCGCATGGAAACGAGAGCCCAACCGACCCGCAGGCCCCAGCGTGGGGGCTCTTGGGTGCAGAGCAAATCAGTCGGAGTGTGTGGGCGCCCAGAGGGACGTGGCCCCTTCGGGCCGGGCGCCTCAGCTGGCTAGATGCCAGCCGCAGGCATGTCGGGGACACAGCTGGCTCCGCCCCCGCCCCTCGTTTGCACATCTGCGGAGCCGTGAGACTTTTGCAGGCACTTCTGTTACTGGGGCACACAGGTCCCATCATGGGAGGGGTGAGGCCTTATTCCCACTCCCCCCCCCATCCTTCCACAGCCCCAGCGGGACTTTGCAGACCCCGCTGGCGGGATGGGAGGTGGGCTGCCCCCACTCTGGCACCTTCACTCCCCCCCCGCACTTGACCCCCCAGTCCTTCGGCTGCCTCATTCGTCCCCAGAAGAAGCTTCCAAAGAGCCGCAGTGCCTGATCCTGCCCAGTCTTGGAAGCCAAGCAGGGTCGGGCCCAGTGGGAACCCGGATGGGTCTCTCGAATGCTGTGAACTGCGCAGAGACGTCTGGCTACGGGCAGTTTAGAAATGGAAGGCAATAATTATTACAGAGCAGCTCCAGGCTGCTCTGCGCTTCCCCTCAATGGCCTCCCTCTTTTTCTCAATACAGCTTCAGTGCCCCCCCTGGGGCTCGTTGTGGGGCTCGTTGTGGGGGGGCTCGTCCTCCTGGCGGCCCTGATCGGAGGCATCTTCCTGTACAGTAAGTGAGCCTTCCTGCTGCATTTGGCCCAGTTTTTTTTGGGGGGGGGGGGGTCAGTTGGTGCACGACTTTGGAGCCCGGCTGCGTCTCTGTCCCGCCTCAGCTTCCGCCAGCCACAAGGGGGCCCTGCAGGGTTGGCGTTGGGGGCTGGTTGTGTCCCCACCCACCAGGATGCTTGCCCCACACACGACAGCCCCGTGCGCACCGTGTGTCCTGTGCAGCCCCCGCACAAGAGCGGCAGGTTGTGTGAACGCGGAGCAAAGCTCTCCTGCTTTGTGGGTGCGACTCACCTGAAGCCAGTCAGGCCGGTGGTTGGAGCACAGCGGGTGCGGAAGGCCCTCTTTCTGTTTCTTTCCAAGAGGGGTGAAAAGCGGCCCAGGAACCTCCCCACCCCCCACCCCAAGCGGCTCCTTCGGATGCTGCCCTGAATGTCTGCCCAGGTTGCTCCGGAGGGAAGGACTGGAGGCATCCGTGGCTGCATCGGGGCAAACCGCGTGGTCTGCAGATGCAGGGGGAGCTTCCCACAGATTCATGAGGCCTCCTTCCTCTGTGTCTGTGGCTGGAGAAACATCCGGCAAATGAGGAAGGTCGTGGCAGAAGGTGAGACAGGATGACCTCTGGGGGTCCCCTCAGTCCTGACTCTCTGATTCTCTCTCCGCAGGGAAGCGTCAAGCTGGCTACAAGGCGGCATCCAGTGAGTGGCCCCTTCCTCTTTCTCTGTTCACTCCTGCATGGGGCAGGCCGTGGGGGGAGCACAGGTCCTGGGGCCTTCGGGGCGAGTGTCCAGTCCCCCGGCTGCATCTCAGGCTGCGGGGCTGAGTGGCCCCAGGAGAAGCATGGCAGCCCGCCTGTGGGGAAGGCCCCCGGAGGAGTGTGCCAAGCAGCTGGATTGCCCCGCTCGGAACGGTCCATGGGGCTGGCCGATGTCCTGGGCCTGCCCCGAAGCCTCGCTCCCTCCCTGGCACCGTCTGCCCAGCCTTTTCCCAGGCAGGCAACTGGCTCTGCTGCTTCCACCCCACAGGGGAAGCCCTAAACTCCGACCAGCGGGGATTTCTCCCCGGGGCAGGGCTCTCAAGGGGGATTGGGCAGAGGAAGGGAGCCAAGAGCACTGCCACGGTTTGGATCCAAGATGGCCAGGTAGAACCTCCATGGTCGGTAGCAGTGTATCTCTCTGTGCTGGGTGCTGGAGGGAGGCCTCCATGCCCTTGCCCCTGTTTTGGCTTCCCAGAGTGGTTTCACTGTCCAGGGCTGAAAACCAGATAGTAGACGGGGGTTCCCTCCTCACTGTGGACTCTTCTGTGTGAACGAGGCATTGCAGAAAGAATTAATCAACACTTGATCAGTGTAAATTCCCCTGAATGCTCATGTCGCTGTTGAGTCTAGCCACTGACCCCACCCCTGTAACCAGGACCCTGCGCAGCTTCCCCCCAAGGCAGCGCTGTTCCGTGGAGCTCCCTGGCAAGCATCGTTCCAGGCTTCCGGCTTGCGATTCCGGTGGCTTTCCGTGTTTCCCAGGGAATCAGCAGCAGCACTGCTGGGGAACCGCCTGGCAGCAGCTCCTCAGGCAGCCCTTCCTGGCCCCTTGCCCCTCACGTTGCCGTCTGATCCCTCCCCACCTTCGGAGAGAAGAGCTGGGGCTGCTTTGCGGTTTCCCCCGGGAGGAGCAGTGCGTGGAAACCGCTCGCGTGGCCAGGTCCATCTGAGGATGCCTTGTTTCGGGGACAGATGCACATCTGTGCTTTCCCTGCACATCTGCACTTCTGCTGCCGTCCTCTGGCTGACCCTGAGGGCCCTGCCTGGAAGGGGCGCGTGCCTGAGAGCAGGAGCCCGGAAGAGCCACGCACCCGTCCCTTCCCCCCTGACTCCTTTCCTTTCTCTCCTTTGCAGCGAGCGACCGGAGCTCTGACAGCTCAGCAAGGGGTAAGTGTGGCAAACCCAGCCTGGCGGATGGGGGATGGGAGTTGCCTGGAAAGAGAGACGGGCACCCGCTGCGTTCCCAAAGCACGTGGGCCTGGCACCCCCCCATCCCCCGCCTGGGCCAGCATTTGCCAGCCCCTCCCATGCAGTGAGAGGAGGGGGCAGGCTGGGGGGCGCAGGGGCGGCTGGTCCCGGCCAGCCGGCCGGTCTGCTGCGGAGCGCCTGGGCTCGGCTTGGGAGCCCAGGAACCACGGCAGAGCTCCAGCGGCCATGGGCGGGAGACACTTCCTGTGGCCAGCTTGGCCTCTTCCAGGGGGTTCATGGAGCCTTGGGGGCTGGTTCCCCGGAAAAGGGAAAGGCTGCCCTGCCTTGCGAACTGGCAGCCCCTTTGGCTGTTTAGGGCGAGGCTGACTCAGTGCTCCTTCTCTCCGCTGCAGGGAGCAACCCGGCCATCTAGCGGCCCCAGAGCAGGTGAGTGGCAGAGCGGGGGCTGTCCTTGTGGGTGGGGACGGGGGCCAAACCCTGGCAAGGAGAAAAGGCGCCCCTTCGTTATATGTGAGGAAACTCCTCTTCTTCCCCCCTTGTGCTGCATGGAGCATCTCAGGGAGAGGAGGAGGAGGAGGAGTCCAGGGGGGAGACACTTCCGGGGCTCCCTTGGGAGCAGGTATGCACCCAGACTTGTCCCTTGCAGCACCCGGCCCAGCTGTGTCCTGGCAAAAGGGATCCCCCCCTGCCGCCTCCCCCCCCGGTTTCCTCTGAAGGAGGATGCGGCACTTTCCTCCCAGGCACGTGGCTTTCGGTGCTCCTTTCCCGGCTGCAGGAGGTGGCCGTACGTAGTCAGTGCGTGGCCAGGGAGGGACGGGGCCTTGTGGGCAGGCGAGCGGAAAAAGGGCCCCTTGGCTGCTGCCGCCCCCCTTCCCCTGTCTCTGCCTCCTTCCTGGTGCTGGGCAGGAAGCCCCCGGGTCAGCCCTGCCTCCCACCAGCCCCAGGAACAGCTGCCCTCCCAGGCAGGAGGGGAGAGTTGCTGGAGCAGCCGGGCCTCGGGGTGCCGTGCTGGGTCCGCTCCCTGCCTGCATTTTAGCTGCGCTCCACGTGCCACTGGGGGGAAAGGGGCCTCCTGGACTCTGCGCAGGGGATGCGGCTGCTCCCCTCTCCCTGCAGGTGCCGAAATCCGCACACACGCCCACCCTTGCAATGGCCTCTGGCTTCTGTGGGGTGCCCCCCACTCCCTGCTCTGGTGAGAATGAAATTAGGGGGCCTGGGGAGCTCTCCTCTGAAACTGTGGCCCACTGACCCCGGTGCAGCCTTGCCTACCTGCCCCCTTGCCACCTCCACTCTCAATGCCGCCACCTCTGCGCCTCCAGGGCGTATGAGGTGCCCCCACCTGCCCCCACTTCGGTCTGGGTCCATCTTGGCTCCATCCCCAACAGAATCTCTCGTCTTCTCTGCAGCTGACCCTGGCAGCGAGTCGCCTTCCCGTGCCAGGAGGCAGAGGAAGGAATTTACATCTACTGACTTCTGTCCTGCCCTTTTGGGAAGTCAGCATTCTGTTGATAGGCTTGGCTTCATTTGACTTGCTTTCTGATCTGGCTGATGCCCTAATGCATTTTAAAAATCTGACCTGATTAATCTCAGGATTTAGGAGCTTCGCTTTCATGTGTTGCATCGTCATGGTGGAAGGTGGAGGGCACCGTCTTGGATGAGGGCTTCTGCTTTGCCGAGCCAGCGAGCCAAAAGTCAGGCGCAGCTGCCCCCTTCCAGCTGCTTCCAGGAAAAACAGTGCTGTTAATCAGCACCTGTCTTTAATCAAAAGTTTATAATTGGCAAATCTAAATGACGACGCAACTAAACAGTATAGCCTTACAAATTCAGGATTATGCCTCCATGTCTAAAGCTGTAATAGGATTTCTAAAAAGCTGCTTGTGTGAGTTCATATTTACAAATAAGATCTAATGTTATTATCCAAGGATGAAAATTTGTGTGTGATTAGACATTTGACAGGTTGGGGAATGAGGGATTGGGGTTTGAGGAATATTTTTCTAACATTAACATGCATAGATTAACATGCACCTTCAGCCTCTTTCTAAGTATATAGTTTGTTGATGTGTTTTGCACTTAGTTGATCGCAAATGAATGTAAACTTTTTTTTCAGAATGATGTAATTGGCTAGAATAAAAAGATTTGTTTACCCCCTCCTTTGCTGTTGCTTTCTTATTGAGTGTCAAATATTTTAGTTGCCTGCAGAAGTGGAGCTTTTGCGCTCTGTGTTGGCCATATCTTGGGGGCAGCGGTGAGGAGCAAGAAGTTCAGGACTTGAAGTCGTAAAACACCTGGGGTTCGATTCCAGGGAGTGTGGTGGGAATCAAAGCCATCCAGCGAAGAGGAACGATTCTGGCATGAGGCCCCTGGGATTCCCAGCCACTCCAGACCCCCC